AGTCGATTGTGTTGACATTTGCGCAACAAAATGAGCGATAAATTTCTCGCCAATTGGTTAACTATTTTATCTTAAAGATAGTATGCTATTGATGTGGATGTAAACTCTATTATTGATGAATTCGCTATATTAAAATTTAAAAGATCGACGTGTACAATTGATATTGTAAAAAACTGTGATTTTTTTACGGTATCTAATTTTCTAATGAAATGCGGCCCAGTGCTATACTATGTCGGATCCGCCACTGCTTATTACTCATGATGAATTGTTGATTCTCAGCCTGCTTCCTTTGTACAACATCTAACAAGTCTTGTTGCTTGAGCTGATGCAAAACTCTCTCTCCTTCTTTTTTTCGTTGCTTTTGATGGGTGAGCTAGAAATGTCTGTTTTGTCATGCCCCCTGCCTGCCCCTTTTTCTGTTTGGTACAAAAGCAGTCTGGTCCGCTAAGTACCCTTTCTTCGTTTTTCTATCCATTCTTTTTTTAGATCAATCTTTGTGATCTCACCCATCTGTACTTTGACTTTGGTTTTTATCTCTGCTTTTTTTAATCTAATTCACCAAAATAAAAAATCACGCGACGCTTTTAAGTTTGTTATTTTCAATCAATCCTCGTCTGAAGTAATGACTTCGCCACTTGTCAGCAGAGTCAAGTTAGAGTGGATACTACAATACCACCCCATTATATTGTAAGTCGGGTCTATATATAGTATTTTGCCTTGAGGTGTATCTAAAAGGGGAAAAAGTTCAATATTTTTTTTCCATTACAAAGTAAGAAACATAGTTTGTTTTACAAAGGAATAAGATGTATAAACGAATCAAATGAAAATGAGCCACGCTCAAGGTTGTCAACGTGAATGTGCCTAGCAGCCTAGTCAAGCAACTAAGTTCTAGGTAAGTGCTTGGATCGCGGGTCAACCTTGATTTGATCTAGTTATTAACTTTTAACGAAAGTATTGAGTTGTCTTCAGGTAAGAAATCTCTAAGAGGTCTTTTGGATCAAGAATTTAATATGAGAAATTTTGACCCAAAAATCACATTTAGAATCTTAAAAAATTTAATTAAGGTATTTGGGAAAATTAACTTGCTTGATTAGACATCGTAGATTTGGAGCCCAATTGTGTAAAAACTCATTTATCCCCATCTTGGTCCTCCTTCTCCAATCTCTTTCTTTCTCAAGACTAACAAACCAAAAATGAGTATAGAAGCCCCAGCGACCAGATCTTCCCTCCTTACCGGCAACCTCGCTACAAGCCGGGGACCCCACTGATTGCGGTCGGTGACTTCGGCCAATTTGGCCCCTTCGCAAATGGAGGAAACGAGAATTAAGTTCCCATCAAATCACAAGCCACCAACCCTCATCGATTGCAGAACCCAAAACCCACCATTGATTTCAAAACCCAAAACCCACCAACCCTTTACTCATCGACGGGAACAAACATGAGGAGTGCTCTCCAGATGGGTGCAGGGGCTTTTTCTCAATTGGAGAAGAAGAATCGAGTTCGATGTTCCTAGCTCGACGCCGACCACTGAGAAGTAACGTCGGCATGTGGGAATGAATTGGTAAAGGATGAAATAGAAGTTTGGAGAGCAACATCGGCCTGTGAGTGGATAGGTAGCCGCCGACCACAAAGGAGGAAAAAACTTGTTGTGTGGAAAAGATGGGTAAATTTTGAGGGAGGATAGTGTGGGAAGAAAACAAAAAAAAAGTGAGGAATTTCGAAATAGCTGTTGGGGATAAGCTATTTCAAAATCCCACTTAGAGTTTCCGAAATCATTTATGCTTATTTTTTATATCTTCACAAAACAGGATTGTGACAAAATCGAGAATGTGTGATGTGGCAAAATCGTGCATCACAATTACCTACGCTCCTCTTCTTCTTCTTATCCTTCTATGCACTTCTCTTTTTCCCTCCTGTAAAGTACCTCTCTTCCCCTTTCATCCATAGCTGATATGCTACTTTCTATCTTCAATCTTTCCCTTCCTTTGATCTACTTCTACCTCTTCATACTCATATGTTGCTTCTTTCTCTCATTACCTCCTATGATTTACTTCTCTCTCTTTCCTCTCGTCTGATCTGTGTTACTCATCTATCGAGAAAGGAGAGAGTTGGTGCTGGATGGAAATATTTTGCGCAAAGTGCGGGCGGTCGTTGCAACTGCATCATGTGGGTGGCAAATTGGTAGGCTAAGGTGAGAAGACAAGCTTTTTCTAAAGTGTAAAAAAGTTCAAAAAATTAAAATTTTCATTGAAAAATAAAGATACTTCGCTTGTTTTACAAAATGGAGAATAAGATATCCAAACGAATCCAATGAAAATGAGTCACACTGAAGGTTGTCAACATGAATGTGCTTATCGGCCTAGTCAAGCAACTAGGTTCTAGGTGTGTGCTTGTGATCGTTGGTCAACTTGGATTTCATCTAGTTATTAAATTTAACGAAAGTAATGAATTTTAATGAATTTAAAGAGGTCATTTGGATAATGAATTTTAATATGAGAATTTTGAACCAAAAAGCTCATTTAAAATATAAAAAATTTAAATAAGGTATTTAGGGTCATTAACTGTTTGGTCAAACATCATGGATTTGGATGCCAATTGTGTAAAAACTCATTTATCATCATCTTCTTCCTCCTTCTCTAATCTCCTTTTTTCTCCATATGAACAGACCAAAGATGAATATGAAAACCCCACCAACCAGATCTGTCCTCGCTACCGGTAAACTCGCTAAAAGCCGACGACCCCACTAACTGAAGGCCGGTGACCTTGGGCAACTCGACACATTTGCAAATGGATGAAACGGGAATTAAGTTCCCACCTAATCAAAAGCCGCCAACCTTCATCGGTTGCAGAACCCAGAACCCACCAAATATTGCGAAACCCAAAACCCACCAACCCTCTACTCATCGACGAGAACGAACACGAGGAGTGCCCTCTCAATGGGTTTAGGGGGATTTTGCCCAGTTGGAGAATAAGAATCAACATCTCTGTTCCTTGCTCGATGTCATGCACTCGAAGTAACGTTGGGCAGTGGGAAAATGATGAAATAGAAGCTTGGAGAGCAACAACCGCCTGTGAGTGGATAGGTAGTCACTGACCATAGAGGAGGAAAAACTTTTTGTGTCGATAGGATGGGGAAGGTTTGAGGGGAGGATAATGTGTGAACACCACAATCCCCCAAAGGATTCCTCCCCGTCATATGTTATTTATCTTTCTCTCTCTACGCCCCTCGTCTTCTTATCCTTCTATACACTTCTCGGTCTCTCCCCCTTCTCTAAAGCACCTCTCTTCTAAAAAAATTCTATATTCTCTTCCCCTTTCAGCCAAAGCTTATATGCTACTTTCTCACTTCAATCTTTCCCTTCCTTTGACCTACTTCTCCCTTTAGGTCCTCATATGTTTTTGCTTCTTTCTCCCTTTACTCCCTATGATTTACTTCTCTCACTTTCCTCTCATCTAGTATGTGCTACTCATATGTCGGGAAATGAATGAGTTGGTGATGGATGTAGATATTTTGCACAAAGAGTTGTTGGTAGTCGCAAGTCGCAACTACGGTATGTGGGAGGCAAATTGGTAGGCTAGAATACCATCTTTTCTCTCTTTGGTCTTGACAAATAGAAAATGTTTTGTTCTCATTATCAAGAACAGTCGATCCCAATAGCTCGACTTGTTGGGAGAGGTTCAGTTATAAATCATATAGCATTTACCAACACACCTCCTCAAACTAAAGGTGACTCATGTCAGCTTGGAATTTGCACATGTTCGGATAGCATGTGCTTATCATAACATATGAGTCATCGGGGTTCGAAAAGAAGACCTCTCAGTCATAGAAGACTCTGATACCATGTCAAGAACCAATTAATCCCAATAACTTGTGTTGTTGAGAGAGATTCAATTATAGATCATATAAAATTTACTGACACTAACTTGGCATGGTGCTCGACTCGAGGATCAAATCGGTTGATTGTTAAGAATTTGATCGGGTTTCTTCCGGTCTTGGCTAAATTCAGGTGGACAATCAATTGAGTTTCAGGTAGATGTGGGAATTGGAACCCAATCTATCAACTAAAAAATCTAACTAACATAATCCATAGTACCTGTATATATTGATATTTCACAATTTGGTACCTAAATTTGAACTTTTGAATGAAAAATTTATTAACAAGTACATTTTGGTACGTCAATTTTTTATAACAACATTTTAGCACATAATTTTTTGTAGAATTTTTATATTGGTCCAAGATTTAAATGCCATAAAATTCACAAATTTATTTAAACTAATATATGAATCCAATATACTTGCCACCTCTAGTTTCTCACTTCTAGTACGAATTCGGTTAAAAACTGTTCAGTCATCCTGTTCTTTTACTAGTTGACAATATAAATCGGATCAAAAATTCAAAATTATCTATTACTGTTGTCGCTAAGCTTTGGGACAAAGGGGATTTTAGGGGTTAGTCTTTTAGAGATTTATCTTTGTCTAATGACTCCTCTAGCGATGCTTAGGATAGGGACAGTAACCAATGGTTACTAACTTATAAGTAACTAAATTTGGACCTTTAGATTTAAGTGGGTCCAGAAAATTCAGATCTAAGGGTTGTCAATTAAAGGCATTTTATTTTTACTAGTTTTTTTAATTGACTATTATCTTCTTCGTTCTAACTCGGATTTCAATTTTTTTTTGCACAGATGGAACGAGTTCGTTGTGCTCTACAAAATGAGATCAATTTTCAATATATTTCGAGAAACTTTTTTTTACCAACTACATACCATATGGTAACTTCTTCGTTTTTAAATCGTTTTTGAAAACGTTTGCTCAGAAGGAACGAGTTCATCATGATCTATTGGATCTATAAATTTCTGGGTGAAAAAAATACTGGATAAAAAGTTACCATACTTTACCACTATAGTATGTGATTGGTAACTTGAGGTAATTTGTAGTAAACGATGATGAAAGTCGTAAATGACAGTTTATATACTCCTACTATGTATTCAACCTTCTTACCATATTGGTATGTTCATACCATCATGGTACGCTTTCTTACCATATGGTATTAAATTGGAGCATACCGTATGGTAATGACTGGTAAAAAATTATTTAATTTTTTTGTACTAAAAATATATCAAAATGGATATCATTTTGAAGAGCATATTAATCTGATTTATCTGTGCAAAAAAATTAAATTTCGACTTAAAACGAGAGAGAAATCGTCCGTTAAAGATTAAAGAGGAAAATATAAAAGACTTTCCGGAAGAGAGAGACTACTGATGTCATACTGATGTGGATAGGTTATTTATGGTTACTAACCATAGAGTTACTGACCTGATCCGCTCCCGTCTAGCGAAGCAAGGGCTGGCGTATTGTTCATGTTACGTATGGGCTTGTCGGGGAGGTCTGAAAACAAACTCTCATCACGCAAAAGCTTTGAAATGGGCTTCTTACTTGCGGGCTAGCAAGTTATTCAGATGGGCGGCCCGAGGGAAAACTCTATAGTTTCGGGCCAGAAGCCCAGCAAACTCAGCTACATACTTCTGTTGAAACTAGCCGCCGTTGGCAAGGCTCGGGCAACGGACAAATGGCTAGACTGATACGACCCTTGCGCCTGCAACAGTGGCCGCAGCTCAACAACCACCATTGTTGCCGCTCACGTCCTTCGCTCCACCATCTCCTAACCTTGTCAACTTCAATAATAAACTGCTGCAAAGCCGCTCCGCAATTTGTCTCTTTCACTATTGCGCCCTTCTCCTCTTCCCGCAGCGTCCACACTCGCACTCGTGCTCGCGGTCCCAGATTCGCTAACGCACCGCGGTCGGCCGAAGTCGACGAGAAGGAAGGCGAGGCCGGAAGCAGCGATTCCGACTCCGATGGAAAGAAAGGCCGCAACGAGAGGAAGCGCGAGGCTCGTCGCGCCGTCCTGTGGGCGATGGAGCTCGCTGCCTTATCTCCCCTGCAAATCAAACGAGTTCTAAGGTACTCTTAGTGAATCGAAATTCCGGATTCTCTTGATTAGGATTTAGAAGTTATTTTCCCCGCGGTGTACGCTTGTGTTTAATTTGATTGTTTGAATTCGGGGGGAACCTACAGGATGGCTAAGCTTGAACGGGAGGTGTTTGAAGCATTGACGCTAGTTAAGGTATACAATTCTTCAGCTGATTATCTTTGGGCAAGGGGTACTATTGTAGCTAAGGTGTTTGTTTAATTGACCCAGAGACTAGGACCAGACGTCCGAGAAGGAAAACGAAGGCAATACAACTATATCGGTAAATGATTCCCTCTTTGTTCTTGAATTAGCGCCGAAATTCTCTCCATTTCCCGATCAAATCCATCAAATGCTCTAAGTGAAATTGTCCTTAAAAAGAAAAACTGGTTCGCACAGGGAAGCTACTTCGTGAGGTAGAACCTGAGCTAATGGACGACTTGATACACGCAAGCAAAGATGGGGACTGGAGTAGGCTGCAGGGAATTCCTGGTTTCAAAGCCGATGAAGCTGATGACAAAGAAATCGAAGAGGAATTCGAAGAGGTAAGAGGAGGTATGAAGAGATAGTATACAATGTACGTTTTGGTTAGTGAAGCTTGCTTCTTGAGTTCAGAATGATAGTTTAGGTTTCAAACAATTTGGTTCTAGTCTTTTTTTCAGCTGCATCCATTTGAAGGGTGTCCATTGTAGTTTCAGCCTCGTCCTAGTTAACTAGCTCTGTCTTAGACCAGAAACGACATTGGCTGAATCATCATTTGATAAATTTGCCAGGTTTCTGAGGAGCACATTGAGATGGCAACCAGATGGTTTGATGGTTTAATCACGAATGACGTTGACATTACAAAAGAAGTTTATGCACTTCGCGTGGTTGATTTTGATCGCCAGGCAAGTCTTAATCTGAGTTCTGCTAATCCTTTACTTACCATCTTGACCATATCATTTAAGACTTGTTATTATGAAATTATCATTGGTGTATTTTATTGTCGTCAGTGGCGGAGCCACGTTATGTGGTGTGGGGTCAATGGACCCCACTTGAAAATGGGTGCCCGTTAAAAATGAATGAAAATACAAATGAGGCATGCAGGAATTGAACCTTAGACCCATAAATACGAGACACCAGCTGCACCATTACAATATATCTTGAGTTTTGTTTAATGAGTTCTGTGGTTTTAATTTTCATGTAATTCTTGGACCCCACTGAAATATTTCTCTGGCTACGCCAATGATTGTCGTGCTGAATTTGGTTCTTCGTCTGTTACAGGAGTTGCGGAAACTGGTACGAAAAGTGCATGCAGTTCAAGAACGAGTCTCTGATGGAGACGAGGAGAGTGAGAAGAAGGTGGCTGCCGCTGCCATGGCCAGTGCCAAGAAGTCCCTCAACAGGTTCCTTCGTATCCTTGCCAAGCAGATGCCTAATGAATCCAACCAACCCCATTGTTGAGTTTTAACAAGAGAAAGGTATATATATTTTCATTATTGGGCACGAATCGATGGACATACCAGACGTCAGGCCCAATAGGCCTGTGCTTGGAAATGGGCGTGGAAGTCCATTGATTCAAGGTTTTTCTGCTTACGCAAAGCCAGAAGGTTGAATCCAGGCCCGAAGATTCCCACTTTGATGGGGGACGTTAACTTCTACCAGATCCGTTCTTCCCTTTATTACTCATTTCTCCTAAATTATTTTTTGTATCTTTCCTGGACTCTTTTAAATCTTAGTTTAACCTGAATTTATTTCTTGAACAAATATTTTGTGGATGTGAAGCATTTGGGCGTGGATATGTGAATCTAGAGGCGGTTCATAAAATATAATATGTGTTCTGTTCTGTTATGTACTCGATTGAGATTGGATGATGTTTGCCATTCCATAGTGTAAATATTATAGGCGGTGACGTAAGTTGCAGGGACAGCCATTGCCAGACCCGATTTCCGGACATAGACAAGGTTTAGTAGGTTGAGAAGAGACGGACGAGGAGGCAAAACTGCTGATGCAGAAGATAGTAACAAGTTTGTTGTTTTGTCGAGACAGAAACCTACATTAATTCAAAGAGGGCGGTTGAATTATATATTATGTGGAGCAAATGATCCCTCGTTGTTTCGCGTATTGCCCTGACCTCTCTTGTTAAGTCTTGATCAATAATAATGCTTTTTCTTGATATTTTATTTGGGCATCAGCTGATGTGATCGGGTCATTATTCTTCCACGGGAGTAGCTCTATCATCGAGTGCAAATCACATTATTATTTGGCCCATCCATTTCTTTCGTTTAGGCTACACCAGTCAACTCATCATGAAATGTTGCTGTGGTGAGGTGTATTTTCAGGCAATCTGATGCAATGTTTTCAAACCGTATTATACATGTCTGTTTCGTGTACCGAATCTCAAACGTTAGCGGTTTTAGGAGCTGTATGAAACAATTGTATCAAGGTTACACCACGATTTTAGTATAAAACACACCCTATTATGGGTACCACCGACTTTTCTTGTAGAACATCTGAAACCGTCAAATGTTTCATACGTATAATAGTTGTTTAGAATATGACAATACAATCTTATACTCAATCAAATAACAAAATATGTGATAGTAAGTCGATCCACTATTATACCTGTGCATCTTTAGCTTTCCTCTAATCAACTGTTTTTTTTTTCTTGTGTGAAATCAAATCTTAAGGATAGGGAGGGTGGAGTCATAATAATTGTGTTGGGGACGATTCACAGGGTCGGCTGAAATAATTTCATTTACATGACCGTTGTTGCATTCATCAATCATCATCATCGCTCTTCCATTGGAGCTTATGCGAAAGCCCATCAGTCCAGCTAATCACACGTATCTAAGTTTTATTTCCTTTCTTCATTGTACCTCTCAATTTTATACGTCTCACCTTATATTCAACATTTCCGGTTGAGTATTGTTTACTGGTGGAGCCATAAGTTCAAAATAGGTGTCCTTTAGGATCTACTCCAGCATTTAGAAATTGGTTAATTGGTAAAGATACATGTACTTGATGCCCCGCCCAAGAAAGAGACCCTATATGATGTAACTATATGATCAATATTTTTAAAAAAGTAATACTAAAAAATTCATTCAAAAAAGAAAATGAATCTATTATTACATTTTTTTTAAACATCCGTGACGTGTTTTCATATCCGGAAAGAATTGTTAAGAAAATCGATCACCTATATTCTTAAGGAGTGTATCCAACTAAGTTTTTTTTTTACGTATATAAAACTGTCCTTATGAAAAGCTAGCATGCTAACACATTTTTTATTAGCATGGTGCTAACACTACCTCCAGCCAATAGAAACATTTCGTTTGGATGACTTTTCCATTTAAATTAGTTGACCACAATTAATGAAGGGAAAAAGGAAGGAGGAGCATGCTGGTCATTAATAAAAATTGGAGGAGGGGGGAGGGGGCAACCGTCCTTTTTGCATTAAATGTGATGAAGGGAGGTAGACCACAGAAGTAGGCCAGAAACTTCACAAAGTAGGCCAGAAACTCAAAGGTCAAAGCAGACCAAAACCTCATCAAAGTAGGTCAGAACCTCCACAAAGTAATTCAGAACCTCCTTAAAATAGGTCAGAACCTCAAAGTATCCACAAAGTAGGTCAGAACCTCAAAATAGGCCAAAACCTCCTCATAGTAGGCCAGAACCTCCTCATAATAGGTCAAAACCTCAAACTAGGTTGTAGGCCAAAAGTTTCTTTGCAGTGAGCCTGTTTGTAATTTTTAAAAACTTTATATACTAAAACGTAACAAATAAAAATTTCAAGTACTAAGATGTAATTTTTCATCAATTTTTTAGGTACTATAATACCCTTAGACCATCTTAGTGATTAGTAGTGTGTTACAAAAGTCCAAATGTTCATATTTGTGCTTTAACTACATAATTCAGTTTCGTGTATATTTCATCATTCTAATTACAAAATGTGTTCATTATTTTTATATAGGTACTAATAATTAATTAAGTTAAACATTTCGATAATTTTTTTAATTCCGACAAATTTTTTTTTTTTTTGTAAATATGACGTAATCAATGACGATCTCTTGTTTGGACCGAAATAGTCGTTGGAGGAGATTGTGGGTGCTAAAAGGTAAAATTATTTTTTATTATTATTAAAGCTCTTTTTGATAGATGGACTCCTCTGTCATTTCCCCCATGTGACCACACTCTTCTTTGGAACTTTTTGTCAGTTTCTGGGCCAATAACTTTTACAATTTTGGAACCTTACTAAAGTGGTGTTGGTCCAATTTTTTAGAATTTCAACCCACCATTAAAGTTGGTTTTGTAGTAAGTGTTAGTATGGTGCTAACACTAAGAATGTTAGCACCCTATCCACTCCCACATAAACGTTTAGTATTTGAATACTATATATACACCTATGTAAGAATTTAAAGAACGTGCTAAAATTTGGGTGTGTTCCGTGACATACAAGGGCATACATACTTCTTCTTGAGGGTTGTCAATTGACAAACCTTGGTTATAAAGTTGGACCTTATCAATGCAATAAAATATGTATAATTATTGGTCGTATTTGAACCCTGCTCAATTTGACAAACCTTGAAACTGCATATTAGACCTCCCATTGCACTATAATCGAATGGTTATTGTTAGAATAAAAAACAAACTTATCTAAACACCCAAATTAATTCCTAAACACATTAATCTTCCGATTCCAAGTCTTTTATGATATTATTGTTAACTAATCAACTTACATAGTTATATGACCTTGTAAAATCATATATTGACGAATATATTTGATAAAAGATCGATGATTACTCTAAATATGAAAAAGGATAATGGAGAATCGAGCAAAAGCCAACGTATTGAAACTCAATCTTCTTTACTTTCGTTCAATCAATTGTTGCGCTTGCAAGTCCCCCTCTAAACCAGGAGAATGAGATAGATAATGTGAACATTTTTGAAAGATGATTCGTGGTTATTTTCTACTGAATCCTACTAATAAGCAAGATGAATTCGAGACTATATCTTCAAAAGGGTCATTATCAATCAACTCATCCTACTTCTCTCATTACTCAGATGAGTGGATATAATCCATCCTGGTATGCTGGAATACGTCAAGAGCAATCTTCAAAATCAGATGGGGGACCAGTTTATTCATGATTACCTAGTTTCTTTTATTGAAAAATGTACGAGTCGCAACATAAGTGACAAGTGTATTTTAGAAAAAAATTAAAATATGAAAAATATGTAGTGGTTCTTTGTGAAAAATGATGAACCGATGTACTTTATAGATTAAATTTTTTCCATAATTTTTGAATTGATTTAAGTTTTATCAAATATTTATATTGTTGAATACCCTTGATAAAATTTTTGGGTCTGCGACTAGTGACAGAGTCCAAGAAGCCCGGCTCCGCCAATGGTATTGTTTAAGTTTTTTTTTAAAGAGTGGTATTGTTCAATTACTGCAACTAATTAACACCAATTATTAGCTGGATGTAGACCATGAGGAACTATAGCTTCTTTTAACATTCATAAGTTTTAAAGATCGGCCATTATCGTTAAAACACCAGGGGGTCGTTTGCTTGAGGGTTTTGGTGATGGATTTGGTCATGAAAATATATTCATCATGGACTTGAACCAAAATCCATCGTTTGCCTTAGGGAATTAGGGATATGGAATTTGTGGGGCCCAACTCTTTTGGGGTTCCAAATCCGTGGACCCCACGGACTTGGAAGTTCCACCTCTTGAGGTGGGATTTGGGTGATGGATTAAAATCCATGATGGTAAATTACCTTTTTACCCTTAATTATTTCTTTAATTACAAATTTGTCCTACTTTAATTCAATGGTCATGCAACTGTAAACTTTTATAATTTCGTATTTTATAAATATGAGAATTTATCATTTCATTTTGTAATATCGTATTTATTTAAATATGAATGTATATGTGATTTGTTAGATTCACCTAGAAACACTTTATGCTCATCTTGTACATTATTATTTGATTAATTGTCGCCTGTCGGATTCCACATCGGTGACTTAGCAAGAAGATGATGAGTTGTAGCAATAAAGCGAGCAATTGGCTGCAATTGATACATAATATTGCGTACATTATTAGATGACTTGTTAATTAGTGCCAAATTGTAATACATTTCTATATTTGTAGTTGAATTATTAATCCACAAAGTGGTAAAGAGTTTAAAATTTCTTTCTATGTTTTGGATTAGTTTTAAATGAAAGATTTGGATTATAATATAAAAATATAACTAAATAAGGGTAACTAGGTAATTTGTATTTAATATCCACAAATCTAATCAAACAAAGTCCATAATCAAATCCATCAAGCAAACAATAGACTTGTTCAAATCCATAATGCCACCAAATCCATCATATATCCATGGTTTTCCGAAACCCAGGTTTTACCAAAACCCTCATTTTTCAAATCTATGAAGCAAACGAACCGCAAAATCCGTGACTCATGACATACAAGTCTATTTAAAAGACCCCATCTAATTAGGCTGCGTACACCATTGAATTCGGTGTTTGCCGTCCAACGATCACCGTAGATCTAAGTGCTAATAATTTTAAAGATAAACATCATTACATACATCCAACAATCATAAATTAAGAGACGATTCAACCCAACATCGTAATTACATGCTTCTGACAGCACAGGCAGGGTAACTATGTTGTGGAAAACAAGCCAACATTTTTTACATCGATGTTTCCCAGAATTCGTCGACGTAAGCCGGGTAGCCACGTATCCTGAGAAGAGGCCAAAGATTTGGATCGCTAATTCCCGATGGTGCACAACACTTTGGAGTTGGGACAGATTCTTGTTACTGTCCCCAACCCCCCATATTTTTGTTTCCCCCAACAGACCAAAAAACGGCAAGACGAGTAGAATTTGGAGACTCCAAAAGGCAAAAGGCACCCCCTAAAAAAATATCAGAGGAAACAAACAGTGAAACTCACCAGTCACCAGATAGATATTTTGCATCCGGCCGTCACTGTGTGGCGTTGGAGATATTTATTATTTCTTGTCGTCGCTGTAGAGATAGATTGTGGCAGATGGGAGTCGGTTCCTTGGTCACCATCTCTCTTAGGACTGGCTATTTGGTCCCGGACTGTTTGGTTTTACCCAAAATCGGACCGTATAATCCGGACCGGGACCGGACTGGGACTGGATAGCAAACAATGCAATCTCATATTAGGGTTTAGATTTGAGGTAAAAAACCGGATAAGAGACCCCCAACACCTAAAATCAAGATAAAATTGGAACTGGATCAAGACCGGAATGTATCCAATCCAATCTTTGATCCTTATATTCCCGAAAAAACCGGACTGGGACCGGATCAATTTGGTCCAATTTAACCGGACCGAACCATATAGTCATCCCTAAATTCTCTCTCTGTTTGTTTGTTTGTTTTTTTCACTCGTTGAAGTGAAGCAAAACGTTGGTGTGAAGTAGTGGGGATTGCGTGTGGAATATGCTAGACCACCACTTATATTATTATTACTGTGCTGCTTAGTGAAGGATCCAATCATTACGTGTCACGAATCAGCAAAGGAAATAGTAGTACTTCTACCACAAAGTTTTTCGACCCTCCATGGGTAAAAACTAAAAAGACCAGATTCTTTTCCCTCGCCTATAACGCCGTTCAAGTCGGTGGTTAGCCTTAACTAGTATTACGAAGGTAACTATTGCGTTCTACAGCTACAATCTAATCTGTGAAAACATAAGTTCAGTGTGTTCTTTTTTAAAATATAAATTAATTTAATATACATCTAATTTCAAGACTAATGGTATTATAATAAAACAATAAAACAGATTATCCATCGATTACTCTCCATCACCACAGAATTCACACTTGATCACATTAATATTTTTTTTCTCAACTCATCAGCAACTTGTCACAATTCAGAATCACAGGCCAGGTGAGAAAATGATACCATGAAATTGAGAACTTGGATCACAAAACATTATGCAAAGGAGCTCATTGGTCACGGTGAACACAAATAGAAGCCTAGTTAATAAGGTTTAACAGAAATATTATGAATCGTGTGAATTTGGTATTTGTCAAACTTGCTATTTGGAACCAATTACTACATAAATACAACATGTCACCATAGTCCATATATACTAATATATTGTAATTAAATAAATATATATGGGTGCATCCTATATTTATAGATTGAATGAATATCTCGATATAGCTCATATAGATTCTTACCAAAGAAATCATCATATATAAAGTGCCTCCACGTATGGTCTCAGATTTTAGAGATAACTTGGAGTCATATTTGAACTATGGAAAAGTATGTCTAAATTCCTTATTGATACAGATCACATGAGGAACATAATAATTCTTAATCTCGTTTGACTATTCGTACACAAAATTACAATTACAAGTAATTAAATAATCTCAAAAAACATAAATGGTTTCCTAATCTTCTGTGCTTTTTTGACTGAGCCGATATCCAACTGCTGGCATTCCCAGGTGGAGCACATATATTGCTTGCCAATTGGACTATATAACCGATTTAACCACTAGCCGCCGATGGAATAACTGTTTAACAGACCAGCCCAAGAACAATTTCTTCCTTTTACACTTCATTGCCATCATTAGAGCACATGTTTTTGACCCATTTCTTTCAAATCCACACACCATTGTCTTTCTTACTAATCCATGCAATTCATTGCAAAATATCATCACATGCAATCAACCGCTTTATTTAATTTGTTTAAGGGTTAGAAAAATTTCATGTTCACATTTCAATGTGAAGTAATTAAAAGGTAGCTACCATCTCTCTCGAGGGTAATTAGTTTTTTTTTTTTGTCATACATGTCTTTAAAAAGACGAAGAGCAGATACATAGTATAACAATATACTCGACTATTGCAGATCAAACTAAATAAAAAAGAAAAAGACATTTGCAGGTATAAGGATGGTAATAAGTTGGGGGAATCAATCCCAGAGATATTTTGTTGGTCCGAATGTGAAATGTGATATTATAGTGTCTATGCATGCATAGATATTTTGCATGAAAAGGGGATTTTGCTTGTTTGACAATCGCAAGAAAGGAGGCCTGGCGAATGTTGCTTTCAGGTTGAGACTAATTTCACGGCCAGCTAACTGATTGCCCCTTTTGTTTGTGAAAAAAAATCAACGATAATATTAGTCTAAAGCCCAAGATAACAGGCAGGCAGTTGATCATCCTCTTTCAAAGACAGGCAGCAGCAGTGAAGTTAATTAACCTGTCCAGAAAACCTTAATGACATGAAACAGTTCAGTGATTGATACAGATCCAATAAGCTTTGAATTCGAGGGAAACTTGTCAATAAACTAATCACATCCATAATTTATTACTTGGATTTCTGTAACATCATGCCTACATTTACGAGGTGGTTACCTCATTACATAACGAATTTCGTTCGTTGAGCTTTTTATAAGTAGCAAGCTAGATTGTTCGAGAGAGGGGGCCAAAATCAAAATAATATTAGTAATTTCACGTCCGTTTCGATGCCTGTTTGATTTAGCATCAACTAGTTCTATTTCAAATTTTTGATTTTTTTTTTTTTTTATTTTGCTTAGCAAATCGTCTCTAGCTTGTAAATCAAGATCTCTATTATATTTCATCTCTTGATGCTCAAGTTTAGTGATTTAGAATTTAGTGTGCGTACAATTGATCGTGTCCTAAAGGGAGGAGATGCCATTATATAAGCAACCATGACGCAATTAATGGGAGGTGCAGTATTGCGAGTATTTGACCTTTTAAGAAGGTGCTTAATTAGCTGGGTTTGTCCAATAAGGTTGATGATATGAAAACTCCTTCCTTGTTAATTAGAAGGACTGACAGGTCAACTGACTTGGAGAACTGGCAATCCAAACTCCAAAGGTTTGACGTTTTGGAAGGGAAAACGCGGGTGGGATTTGGTTTTGTGAGTGTAAAGCTAACCAAATATGACTTATCCATTATCCCTCGAGTAGCTAGCCCCCACGACTTGGTTTTGTGTATATTCTATTCTTCGATGATAATATTGAAATTGAACTATCCTAGCAGAAAAGGTACGTACGTGATAGAATACCAAGAATATTGGTATTTGGTAGTGCTGGGGAGCAATGAACTTCAATTGCTGCTCAGAATAATCATTTTGTGCTTCTTAGCAAGAAATGGTTGAACCCTATTGGACACTTCATAGCAAGAAATGATATGAAGAGATCAAGTACCCTCGTGAAAAATTAATATAATCATTACTCTTTTGATCAAATTATCATCATCAATTGATTAATTGACATTTTAATCTCTTCATGTCATTGGTGGGATGTTGGGTTAATCTCTTCAATTTTGCACTATTGTTAGAATGCGTGATTGTTTTAACTAACTAAACTGGTGGGAGGTTGGGTTAATTGAATTTTGTCTAATTTGTTCGTGAATATTTGATACGTGTTTAGATGTGATATCGGGAACTTTACATACATGTTTGTCGATTATCACTTTAGAATTTGATGATTGGAAATTTTTGGAAAAATGGAAAAAAAAAGTATCTCTTATATTTTAGCCATTCCCAATCTAACAACGCGAGACACCTATCAATAAAACCCTTTCCTTTTCACTTACTGTTATCCTACATCTTCCAGCACAATAGAGTAAGATCCAATACAGTTTGTTGAAGTAGCGATATGAAGGATTAGTGTTTATTACCGGAAACATGACTTTCTTAACATAGAGCGAGTTTAGTTTGATCATGGAGTGAGATTGTCAGCTTTGCTTTTTCAGAGACTCAACGGTAAATAATACAGCAAGTAACTTCACTCCGTCCTCTCTTGGTCAGAAAATCAAGTTGCCACACTCGGCAACTATTGGGCCCCACGACCCAACGTCATCGAAATTCCTTCTATAAATACGCCACTCGGTCCTCTCTTTCCTGAAACCTCCATCTTCTTTCCCCATTCTTCAGCTCCCTTATTTCTTAGTCTTACAACAGAGGAAGAAGATTTAGCCGCCATCAATTTTTGCCCCCTTCTCTGCCAATCCAAACTCAGAAAACCCAATTTCCACACTTATTATTCGTCCCATCGCTTCAATGGCGGCTTCTCTAATTCCCCAATTTCTAATTCTGTTCATTTTGACTGCCGCCTATCTCTTCCCAATCAGCGTCGTTTCCACGACCTTCACAATCACCAACCAGTGCGAATACACGGTCTGGCCGGGCATCCTCTCCAACGCCGACGTGGCGCCGCTGCCCACCACCGGATTCGCGCTCCAGAAAGGCGAGACCCGAACCATCTCCCCGCCGGCTTCCTGGGGCGGCCGCATGTGGGGCCGGACGCACTGCTCCGAGGATTCCGCCGGCAAATTCTCCTGCCTCACCGGCGATTGCGGCTCCGGAAAGGTCGAATGCTCCGGCTCTGGCGCCGCTCCCCCCGCCACCCTCGCCGAATTCAAGCTCGACGGCTACGACGGCCAGGACTTCTTCGACGTCAGCCTCGTCGATGGCTACAACCTCCCCGTCCTCGTCTCGCCGCAGGGCGGGTCGGGTCAGAACTGCTCCAGCACCGGGTGCGTGGTCGATCTGAACGGCGCGTGTCCTTCCGACCTCAAGGTTGTTTCCGATGCTGGCGAGGGCGTAGCGTGCAAGAGCGCGTGTGAGGCCTTCGGCCAGCCGCAGTACTGCTGTGATGGAGCGTACGCGACCCCCGACACCTGTCAGCCGTCGTCGTATTCGCTCGCGTTCAAGAACGCCTGCCCACGCGCTTACAGCTACGCGTACGATGACAAGACCAGCACATTTACCTGCTCCTCCGCCGATTACGCCATCACATTCTGTCCCACTCCCAGCACCAGGTAATAAAAAAATTTACCGCCATTGTTCTTCCCGTCCATTTTTCACCCGTTGAAAAAGCCTGGGGGAATGGACTCTAGCGCCGGGTTATTTGTTTTTGTTACCGCCAAAATTTTAACCGTTGTTTACATAGAAAAGCGTGAAAATGAAGTGACGCGTACGCCGACATAGAGGTTCGGGTCGGTTTCGGCCCGGCATAGTAATGCGGTCCTGGACAGGCCCAGCTAAGAGATTAGGGAAAGTGAAGGCGACAAAATTTTAATTAGCGCATTAAATTAAATATTAAAATACAGATGCGTAGCTGAAAGGGAAATAGTACCACGGAATGCTTAATTAAATGCTATACATAACGGCCACTGACGGAGTTGTTTCTTTTTATTGTGACAGTCAAAAGGCGTCGCAGGGGCAGAACCAGGGACCGACGACAACGCCGCCGCTTGGTGCTACGAGTGAAGGCGGAAACGACGGGAAGAGTAGTTCCCCGTTTGTTGACGGCTCGATGGTGTACGGAAGTGGGGAGTTGGGCACGAACGGCGGGATGGGGAGGACGTGTACCCACGTGGGTGCTGCCGTCAGCATCACATTGGCCGTATGGCGGTTGATGCAGTTCCGCTGAAAATTTTAACCTTTATTTTTTATACTGGTTCGCATGGGTTGGCCGGGCGGGCCGGTGGGTTTCGTGGTCCGGTTGAATCATCGTGGTAGGGAGAGGCCCGTGGGCCGTGCCCCATGCCGCCGCCTCGGCCCGAAATGAAGAACCGACAACTGGGTGTGGGGCCTACAGCATCGTCTTCGCTTCGTCGGGGTTTCCTGGTGCGGGGGCCACGTAGGACAAGCACCACTTTGGGCCGTGGGCTGACGAGGAAGTGACTCGCTAATGAAGAAAGAAAGCAAACGTTGTTGTTTCATAAGTTGGCCCGTCAAAACTGATAGGCAGGCGCTCCCGTGGTTATTAATTATATATTATCTATTTAGTAGTGATTAGAGACGAAATTAGTTAGGAAATGAGTGTAATTCTTTCTAGGCTATAGGTTTAAATTATACAATTCTTTTTACCTCTTGCGGTGGTGAACAATTCTAGAGGATGGAAATTCATTTGTTGGTTACGGAGGAATTGTTATTCTACAAAATGTAACCACCAGAATTAAAGAAAAAGAAGAATGTTATTAATAAAAATAAAGGAATTGACCTATTATGATGCTACTATTCTTTTTCAGTGGCTCTTATTATTTTGCTGATGTAGACTTTTCGTTTGATTAATCAGAAGACTATGGGGTTGGATTAATTAATAAATCATATGGAGTTAGGGGATAATTGAAGTATGCGGTGAGAGAGTGAAGGAGACATCAGCATTCGTACAAGAAGGGAAGGGGATTAGTATTTTATGTTGTGTCTTCTTTCTTTTGAATTTTTTATTTTATAATGAAGCAGAGTAAATTCGCTAGTTGAAGAAAAAAGAAAAAAATCGAAAATTCAACTTGTAGCTTTTAGTATAGGGTTTGGACAACCTCTCGTCACAAACCAACAATGATCAATCAACGCATAGATAGTATTGCGAAGCTATAGAAACTTTATGAAGGAAACTGTTGGGCCAAGTATTAACATACGTGGGCCTGAGGCCCATGGTTACAAAGCCGGTAGAAAGTCAGACTAGGCCAGGGCGGTCTGTCACCATCTTATCCTCGGAGACCGCCCGACACTGACGTAAGCACACGTCAGTGAGCCGCCCGACAGAAGAACCAAAGCACTGATGAACTGAGGAAGTCAGACATTCGTATTGACAAAGCATTTAATGAGCCCTGCGGCGTCCCAGACCGCCTGACACCGCATTAAATGCTCCGACCCCTATTCCAAGTTGGTATAAATAGCCCCATGAGGGCAGCATTTATGGTAACTCCTATCAACTAGATTCTCTCTCTTATTCACTTCATATCACTTCTCTCTCTAACTTAGGCATCGGAGGAGGTCCCAGGACACCCCTTGTGGACCTTTCTTGCAGGGTTTCGAGGACCGCCGCTCACCCGTCCGGACCGCACGAAGCCAGTGAAGCCTCACAAACCGCCTGGGACGAACCAGGCACAAACATTTTGGCGCCCACCGTGGGGCCTCACGACTTCGTCAAGGAAAAAGGATGGGCGGCGATTCCGAAACTCCCCTCAAGGGAATGACCGAGAACAACACCCTCCGAGGTCTATCGCCGAGAGTGGAAGATGAATCTGAGCTCGAGGAAGTAGTCAAAAGTCAAGGCTTGCAAATCGCAAGCATGCATGATAGTCTGTCACAAATCCTCCAACTCTTGAGGACGAAAGAAGACCCCGCTGAGGGTTCCAAGGGAAGAACGCGGGAGGAGAAGCAGAAGGCCGTCCTGATCCCCGACAGCCCTGCTCGGACAGAAGGCGGGGGACCAGAGGTGGAAGAAGCGAACCTTGGATATCTCGAAGAGCATCTGCGGTCGACCTACGGGAAGCATAAAAGCCCGAACGTGCTTCAAAATCCTCTATCAAAAGAGCTATTCAAGACCCCCGTACTTCTCCTCCCTCGGACTACCAACGTATAGTGGGACTTCAGATCCCGCAGACCACCTTTGTGCCTTTATGCTAAAGATGCAACTCATAAACGCCTCAGACTCTGATCTGTGTAGAGCGTTCCCCGTGACCTTTGGCAGCCAGTGTCGTGCGTGGTACACCTCACTCCCGGAGGGGGTGATAGAGAATTTCGAGCAATTCGCGATGCTCTTCTCCACGAAGTTCGCGTCTCAAAGGCGTCGCAAACTCACCGTTTCGGCGCTCATCAATTGCAGGCAGAAGAAAGAAGAGTCACTGGCGGACTTCTACGATCGGTGGAACTCGATCGCTTGCGAAATAGACGGTATCTCCTCGGTCGTAGCCGCCGGCAACCTAAGAATATCCACTACCAGCATCAAACTCAAGAGAACCCTGATAAAGAAGGAAGCCCAGCTCACATCCTGGTCGGACCTAGACCAACTGGTGCGACGAGCCATCTTGCTCGAGGAAGCATTAGCCACAGACGATCAGAACCATCAAGGTCATTCTCGAAACGACCCTTCAGGTCGTGCAGACGCTCGGCGTGAAAGGCGTTCTCCGGAATGGAAGTCATACCGCAACCGGTACTCCGATCGCGATGGCAAAAGGGAGGTGTATTCAACAGATCGCGAAAGGGGAAGAGATAGACGAAGAGGTGGAAGGAAGTCGGAAGCACCCGCCGGCCAAGAACCGCCTGAGGGGAAGAAGTGGTGCGACTGGCACCAGATAACTACCCACGACACCACCGAGTGTAGGGAGTTCAAAGCCAGCCTGAAGTACTTGGTTCCCGGCGACCTGCGCAGCCGCCTTGAAACACGACGTACTCATCGTGACCGCTCCCAAGAGATACAGGCCGCTTCTCATAGCCCCGAAGCAGACAAAGCTCGGAGAACCCGTAAAGAAAGATCAAGATCGCCCACGAGGAACAAGGCCATCTCTCCCCAGAGACAGTCTCCTGCCTACCGGCCCCAACGAGGAGATGATAACGGAATGAAGATCATCACAATCGCAGGGGGCAGGAAGCGTCCAAGATCAGAAGCAGACCGCCTAAGCCAATGCCTCAGCGTCCAACGAAGAATACCCACAGAAGTCACTTTCCAGCCCTCGGAATTGGCCAAAGAGGAAAACTCTGAAGACCCCCTGGTCATTTCGTTAAGAACCGACAAGTTTAAGGTCACGCGTGCTCTCGTCGACAATGGGAGCTCCGCCGATATCCTCTTCTACTCGGCACTCAGAGGCATGAAGAAAAGCGTACAAGACCTCAACCTCTCTAACACCAGCTTGGTGGGGTTCTCGGGAACAAAGGTCCGCGTCCTCGGGTCAATCACCCTCAAAGTCACCATAGGCGAAGGCGGGATCACGAAGACCAAGCTGGTGGAATTCCATGTGGCGGATTGCCCTTCGGCATATAACGCCATCCTCGGACGTGGTTTTCTAGCTTCATTGGAAGCGGTCGCGTCTACGTGCAACCAGATGTTGAAATTCCCCAGCGGGGGACAGACAGGACGCGTTCGAGGAAACGTGAAGGAAGCAAAGGAATGCTACCAAGCAACCATCGAGCGTCTTGAAGTCGACCTTGTTGACGCAAAAGACGAGGTCCCGCGACCGGAAGCCGAGGAAGGAGATGTGGCAGTCCCCTTGAATGAAGAGAAACCGAACAAAACGGTTCGCATTTCAGCTCACCTGAATGAAGAAGAGGCCCAGAAGCTCTTCACGCTCCTCAGAGAGTACCAAGATCTCTTCGCATGGGGACCGGAAGACATGTCAGGCGTCCCCCGCAAGGTCTCCGAACACCACCTCTCGATCAAACCCAAAGCGCGACCAATACAGCAACGACGAAGACACCTGTCAGTGGAAAAAAAATTAGCCCTCGAGGAGGAAGTGCGGAAGTTGCTCAGCGCGGGATTCATCCGAGAGGTAAAATATCCCACTTGGCTCTCAAATCCGATCTTTGTGCGCAAAGCAGGGGGCACTTGGTGAATGTGCATCGACTTCACCAGCCTTAACGCCGCGTGCCCCAAGGATGCATACCCCCTCCCTCGCATCGACCAGTTGATTGATGGGACCGCCAATCAGGAATCGCTCAGCTTCTTAGACATGTTCTCGGGATACCATCAAATCAAAATGGCGGAAAGCGACCAAGAGTCAACCGCTTTCATGACACCAATGGGCAACTTTTGCTATGCAGTCATGCCTTTCGGACTAAAAAATGCGGGGGCGACCTATCAGCGCATGGTCGATGCGGTCTTCAAAGACCAAATGGGAAGGAATGTTGAAGCTTACGTCGACGACGTCTTAGTCAAGAGCAAAAAGGCCGGTGACCACCTCTCCGACCTACAAGAAACCTTTGAAACTCTAAGGCGGAAGAACCTGAGGCTCAATCCATTGAAGTGCGTCTTCGGAGCTGAAGCAGGAATGTTCCTTGGCTTCATGATCACGAAGCGTGGGATAGAAGCCAATCCAAAGCAAATAGAGGCCATCCGAAACTTAAAGCCACCAAAGACAATCAAGGAAATTCAGGCGTTCAATGGCAAGATGGCCGCCTTGGGAAGATTTATCCCACGGTCAGCGGACAAGTGCTCCCCTTTTTCCAGATGCTGATAAAGTCGGCCTCAAGACTCCAATGGGGCACCGAGTGCGACAAGGCATTTACTTTGTTGAGAAATCAACTCAGTTCCCCTCCAATCTTGAGCGCCCCTGTCGAAGGAGAAAGACTGTACCTCTATCTGGCAGTGTCAGAACAAGCGGTCAGCTCGGCTCTAGTACGAAGGACGCCGGAGGGCACCGACCAGCCGGTTTACTACGTGAGAAAAGCACTTCTACCCGCAGAAACGAGATACATGCCCGTTGAGAAGGCGGTCCTCGCTGTCGCCTCCGCGACTCGAAAGCTACGACCGTACTTCCAAGGACACCCCGTCATGGTGCTAACGAATCTATCCCTAAAAAGTGTCATGCGAGGAATGGACGCATCAGGCAGGTTAACCAAATAGGCAGTTGAGCTCAGCGAGTATGACATTGAGTATTCCCCGCGACCAGCCATCAAGGGGCAAGTGTTGGCGGACTTCATCGCCGAAGGCTTCTCAATCACTGCGGCTCCCTCCGCGGAGTGAAGTCAGATCTGGCGCTTACAAGTTGATGGAGCGGCCGGAAAAACCGCCTCATGGGCAGGAATCGTCATAGAGTAGCCAGAAGGGGTGGTCCATGAAATATCTCTGCGGTTCAAATAAATCAAGACTAACAATGGCGTCGAGTACGAGGCTCTCATCAACGAACTCAGGATACTCACCTACCTGGGCGCGTCCGACGTCCATATCTTCTCTGACTCCCTTCTGGTAGTTCGGCAAGTGCACGAGGCATTTGAAGTCAAGGATGAAACGTTGACCGTTCTGGCTAACAGAGTCAGAAGCTCCCTAGCACAGTTGAGTTCATGGAAACTCGAGCATGTGAGACGGGATGATAATCAGCACGCCGATGCACTGTCCAAACTGGCGACCGCCATGGATTTCGAAGGGGATCGTCACGTCACCGTCACCAAAGAAGCTGACCTCCCCGAAGAAGTCCTGGTCATTGGGGACGCCTCCGACTGGAGGACGCCCCTGTTCCATTATTTGGAACATGACCTCGCCCCGCAGCACCCAAGTGAGCGAAAAGCGCTCCAGCGAAAGGCGGCACGGTACGCCGTTGTGGATGGACAGCTGTGCCGAAGATCGTTCTCGGGAACATATCTGAAGTGCCTAGGACCAGAAGAGGCAAAATGGACGCTCAAGGCGATACATGAAGGAACATGTGCAACACACGCGGGACCCAGGTCGCTGGAGAGGACAGTCCTCTTACAAGGGTACTACTGGCCCACGATCAAGAAAGACGCTTCAGACATCGTCCAGAAGTGTCACGCATGCCAAGTTCATGCCACCAAACACCACCTTCCAAGTTCTGAACTGCAAAGCATGGTGGGACCGTGGCCGTTCTCCAGATGGGGCCTTGACCAGCTGGGACCCTTTCCCACGGCTCCATTAGGCAAGAAATACTTGGTAGTGGCGGTGGATTATTTCACTAAGTGGATCGAGGCAGAACCACTAGAGACGATCACGAGCGCCCGGGTGCAGAAGTTTGTGTTCAACAACATTATGATCCGCTTTGCCATCCTGCAGTCGATCATCACCGATCATGGCACGTAGTTTGACTGCCGACTGTTCGAGAATTTCTGTGCCAGAAACCACATCACCTGCACAATGGCCTCTGTGGCATACCCACAGACGAACGGTCAAGCCGAGGCCACTAACAAGCTGATCCTTTGAGGGCTGAAGAAGCGTCTGAAAGATGCTAAAGGGGGATGGACAAGCGAACTCCTGCACGTCCTGTGGGCGCATCGCACAACCTATAAGACTGCCACAGGGGAAACCCCATTTGCTCTGACATACGGTTCCGAGGCGGTCGCACCCGAGGAGCTAAACCTCCCATCCCTCCGCGTCCAAGCATATGATCCAGAAACAAATCACAAGAAGCTGCTGGAACAACTGGATATGATAGAATCCAGAAGGGATGCGGCCCTCGAACGCCTTCTGAGTGAAAAAGCAAAGGTGGCCGCTTCCTACAACAAGAAGGTGAGGGCGCGACCCCTCGAAGAAGGAGACATGGTTCTCAAGCGAGACTTCCAGAAGAAAGACGAGCATGGAAAGCTGGCCGCCACATGGGAGGGCCCTTTCCTCATTTGAGAAAAGACAGGTCCCAGCACCTTCAGACTTGCGAATATGGAAGGAGACCCAGTCTCCAAGACTTGGAACGGGATGCATCTCAAGAAGTACTACTCTGATGCGGTCTAGAGCACGTTGGGCTAAGACCGAGATGTTTTGGTGGTCTGGGAAATCTCCCACCACTTGTAATTGTGTGGTACCACGCTACCACTTTTGCTTGCAGATTGTCTTGGTGGTTAAGGGACCCTCCTTCCACTTGTAACAGTGTATCGGTTGTCCAACGCAACCCCTTTTGCTCTAAGTAGTACACTGATTAGTTTCGGCCATAATTTCTGAAAAGGCACACACAAACGCAGACAAGGGGCATCCCCGAATGCATAAAGATCGCCTCCGGGCACAACAATAAAATCAAACATACACAAGGGGCACCCCTCAAAACACGGCGAGTAGTTCGTAACAAAACGATGCTCACAATCTCAAAACAAGAGCAAAAACCGCAATAGGGAAATACATAAGCAAAACTCAAATACCATGAGTGGCGGTCAACAGAACCAACCTCCATACATAACTTAACATCGAAGTTCATAAGAAAAATTCAAATACTAAGAGAGACGGTCAACAGAACCGACCCCCATAAATAGCTTAACATCCGTCCGAAGAGCATCCAAACCAAAATAACGATCATCCATTGTTCAAACAGGGAACATAAAAACATGAGCAACCGCTCACAACTTGCGGGAACCACCATCACCCCCGGCATTATCACCGGGAGAAGTCCCTTCTCCCTCCTCTTCCTCATTCTCGGAGTTCACATCCGTCTCCGACCATGCACCAATAGCATCCCAAATCTCATCAGTATTCCAGACCGCTTCAGGCTGATCCATACGAAACCAGTGTCGAATGGCAGCAACCGCATTACCAACGATAGTTTTATACTTCTCGTTATCAATCACCTGAAACTCATTTGACTCCAAGTATGCTGGCCCGGCTTCCGCACGTACGGTCTCCAGCTCCGCCTGGTGAGTCTTCAGAGCGGCCGCATTCTCCAACTTCAACGACTCTATCTCCTTGCGCAGAGACTCTTGTTCTTCCAGCAGCAACTTCTCCATCTCGCCGGACTTCCTCACCCGCTCCTGAAGTCGGTCCTGCTCCTCGCAAGCCTTCCTAACCGCTTCCTTCTCGACACTTAGTTCCTGGTCCTTCGCAGCCAACCGCTCCTCAAACTCCCGCTCCAACAACGGGCGGACTTTTGCCATCAGCGCTTCTCTACCCTCACTCGAGCTTTTCTTCAGCTTGGCAATCTCCACGGCCTGGTCATCGACGGTTTTCAAAAGGCGGTCGTTATTCATTAGAATATGGGAGAACCCAACCTGCGCCTGAAACCGTTGAAACAAATAGGTGAGCGCACGCTTTTCACTAAAACACAGGATCTGGTCAAAACGAACGTACTGCGAAGAAGAACTGAGTAGCAGCTCCGGCAAGGCGCCGGGTAGTGCCACTCGAGGAAGCCGTGTATTCCGGAGGCATGACAAGCTGATCACAGATGGTATGAAAGGCGAGCTCAGGCGCCTCGCCATCAGTAGCCGCCAGAGGAGGTAGATCAACTTGACTCAGCTTCATAGAGGGGGACACACCCTTACCACGGTTCTCGACTGTCTTCGACCGAGGGGACCCTGTCCTGGACCGCTTGGCAACATTGACCGGATTGGAGGACTCCACTGGTCTCTTACCCGCACCTCGAGTGACCGTACCGGGAGAGACAGGCTTGGCTGCAATCGCCGCCGTCACCGAAGGACCCGCGGTCCGTGAGTCACTTACTTTCACCACCACCTTCTTCTTCTTCGGCCTGACCGCATCCGCCAAAGCCCTCAACCCTGCAAGGGAAAAGCATAAGTAAAGAAGTATGAGAAAACGAGAGCAATAACAAAGGACATACGCTACTAATCGTAAAAACTGCGAACATGCTCATACGCGCTCCCTGAACCGCTGGAAAACACGCGCAAATGAAAGCCATCAGTGAGGCGGTTCACATGATCCCTCACAGACGAAGGAAACTGGGTCGACGAGCACCAAGAATCTTTGGATCCAACCGCAAACCCAACTTCACGTGCTCCACGAAAATGGGAATCCAACCCTCAGGACACGATCCTGACCTACACTTCTCAGAAGGGGCCGCATAATCCCACTCGGGAGGAAGTTCTAAGGCGGTCAATCGGTGAAGAACTTGTGCGGGTCTCAAGGCCGCCTCATACTTTGGCCCATACTTCAGGACCTCCGGTGGTACTCGTTCATCGTCCCACATACACTCATGCCGTAAGACTGTATATGTCGCGTCTGCAATCGCCAACCGCGACGCACTCCCTCCCTTAGAGTCCGATACCTCAATCGACGACGAGGTACTAGGAACCGCCTCAGATCGTACTCCGTCACTACTAACCACCTCCACGTCACCCGACGACCCGCTATCTAAATCTATCGCCCCAAACTCACCCAAATTATCCCCAACCGCAGAAGAAGTTGCCACAACCCCAACTGGTACAGGGCGCATGTTAGCAAAAAAATCATCCAACCCCAAAGATCCCCCAAAAATACAATCGTCTAATTCCGAACCGCTCCCGAAGTACAAGTCCAGACCGGATAGGTCAAACACACACTCGGAAACGCTTCGAGCGGGAGGGGAGCGAATCATACCTTGAGTAGCAAGGGTCGCACCCCCAGTAGACGCGGCCGGTTGCTTCCCAAGCGCAGCAGAAGAGGAGGGCGCAGTAGGCCTCATGGACCTCTCCTCGGGATTCGATGGCGGCACAACTTCCGAGGCGCCGGCGAAAGGAAGTTCAACCGCCGCGGAGGCGCCACCTCCAAGAGCGTCGGCGGCGATAGTCTCCCGACTCAGCTCGTCGACTGGCGAATTTTGATCCATTCGTAGTCTGCAGTGATAGAAGAAAAAAGACGAGGTCCGGCGCACAACAAAAGGGCGACGTCTCGACAGCCCACACAGAGCAAAAAGAAAGAAGGAAACAGAAGAAGCAGCACCCCACCAAACATGCAAACATAATACTTACCGGAGAAAAAGCTCGGTTTTATAGCACAGCTCGCCGGGAAACCAGAGCTCAGCAATCGCGTCACCACGAGGAAGGAGGAAGAAGACAAGAGTTTCTTGCAAATCGAAACGACGGGGACAGACAAAAGGGTTCTCAACCCCACTTATAGTAAAACACGAAACCCAAGGTGCCAGGGGTGACGATTGGATTGCCTCTGAAAATGCAACACGATCGAGGCAAGCCACGTGGTGACACTAGCGCAAGGGGCAGGGCGCAGTGCGTCCCGACCGCCCCATAGTCGTTCCCCGCGTTAGCTGAACGCGACAAGGGGCAAGTAGGTAACCATGGACCGCATACCACCTAACCGCTCCACGATGGTAGAAGAAAATAGCCGCGACAACCTAATGCTTCTCCCGACTAAGGGGCAAATGTTGGGCCAAGTATTAACATATGTGGGCCTGAGGCCCATGGTTACAAAGCCCGTAGAAAGTCAGACTAGGCCAGGGCGGTCTGTCACGATCTTATCCTCGGAGACCGCCCGACACTGACGTGCGCACACGTCAGTGAGCCGCCCGACAGAAGAACCAAAGCTCTGATGAACTGAGGAAGTCAGACATTCGTACTGACAAAGCATTTAATGAGCCCTGCGGCGTCCCAGACCGCCTGACACCGCATTAAATGCTCTGATCCCTATTCCAAGTTGGTATAAATAGCCCCATGAGGGCAGCATTTATGGTAACTCCTATCAACTAGATTCTCTCTCTTATTCACTTTATATCACTTCTCTCTCTAACTTAGGCATCGGAGGATGTCCCAGGACACCCCCTGTGGACCTTTCTTGCAGGGTTTCGAGGACCGCCGCTCACCCGTCCGGACCGCACGAAGCCAGTGAAGCCTCACAAACCGCCTGGGACGAACCAGGCACAAGCAGAAACTAATGAGCTTAGTTTCGAATGGATTACCGGATTAAATATTGAGAGTGTATAGAGCAACCAAATTGTGGCTTCTTGATTATATTCTTGAGTTTGATAGAAAATATATATTTTAAATACTTGTCATTGAACTCTTAACTTGCCTAAGAGATGGTGAGGGATTTCATCTTCACCTCTTTATATCCGACTTCATAGCGTTTTAGAAGTTCATCTATACAAAGTTAAATAGAAAAATATGGTGCACTACGCTCTTCTATACGATTCTAGTTGATTAAATTTCTCCAACATTATCTATTCACCTTTTAAATTTGCAAATTGATCAAGTGCTGTATTTCTTAAACAATTGAACATGATCCTGTCAACGTTTGCATGCATTATCTGTAACTGCAATGGCGACTTGAAGGCTTTACATTAGCTTTGGTGGTAGCTAATCAAATGTGACTACAGGAAGATAAAACCAATCCATTATCAGATCAGATTAGGAAAAAAGGTAGGTACCGCTGCCATATATGATAATACTTACTCTAGTACATTGAATTAGCATCCTTCTAGTCCAAAAGGGAACGGAAGAATGGTACTTTACAGCATTGCAGACTTGCAGCAGATAATAATCTATATTATTTTCAAGTCAATTCTGAATTTTGTATATGAAAAATCATTATCTTTATTCTCAAAATCATGAGCTTTTACTATAATTTATATTCGCGAGTAAAGAATAAATAGATAATAATCGTGCTTATAAGAGAAGATTATTGACAAAAATTACAGATCAAAGGTTAATTAAATGGATAGTCGGAGGGTAAATGTAAAATCAAACTGACTTTTTACAGGCTTAGGATAGGGTCAGTAATCATTGGTTACTGACCTATGAGTAACTAAATATGGACCTTCAGATCGGGCTCGTTTGGAAGATATGAGTATAAATCTATAGATTGTCAACAATATAAAAATTCCAACTCTTCGAATTATTGAAAATAGATTTTAAAATTTTTATTGTTTGATAACTTTGATTGTTAACGTTCAATAAAAATAAAAAATTATAACTTTATATTAAATATCATATTTATCCATAATAAAAAATTAGAGTGATTCGAGAAATATTGAAAACATTGTTGATAAATATATTTAATGTGATAAATAAATAAAAGGAAGAGTTAAAGTAGGAGAAATAAAATCTCACGAATCAAGATATAGAATCTCTATGATTATGAGAGATATCATATCCACGGATTTTAGAGATTTGAAATCTCTAACGCTAAAATCCATCATACAAAAAGAAACAAAAAAACATAACATTCTACAAAATCTATGGATTCAGTGAATCCACAGCCTAAATCTTGTTCTCCAAGTTTTTTTTTAGGTTCGTAAACTCATTAGGCCTAGCATTGAATAGATTGGGTATTTATTTACCTTATCAATATTTTAAATCAATGATGCGTGTCCAGAAAATTAAGATATAAGAGTTATCAATTAAAGACATTTTATTTTTCCTAATTTTCTTAATCGGCTCTTATCTTCTTCGTTCTAACTCAGATTTCAATTTTTTTTTGCACAGATGGAACGAGTTTGTTGTGCTCTACAAAATGAGATCAATTTTCAATATATTTCGAGAGAAACTTTTTTTTACCAACTACATATCATATGGTAACTTCTTCGTATTTAAGTCGCTTTTGAAAACGTTTGCTCAGAAGGAACGAGTTCATCATTATCTATTGGATCTATAAATTTCTGGGTGAAAAAAATACTGGACAAAAAATTACTATACTTTACCACTATTATATTTGGGTGGTAACTTATGGTAACTTGTAGTAAACAATGATGAAAGCCGTAAATGACAGTTAGTATACTCCTACTGTCATGTATTCAATCTTTTTACCATATTGGTATGTTCATACCATCATGATACGCTTTCTTACCATATGGTATTAAATAGGAGCATACCATATGGTAATGATTGGTAAAAAAAATCATTCATTTTTTTGTACTAAAAATATATCAAAGTGGATATAATTTTAAAGAGTACATTTAATCTAATTTATCTGTGCAAAAAAAAATTAAATTTAGATTTAAAACGAGAGAGAAATCATCCGTTAAAGATTAAAGGGGAAAAGATAAAAGACTTTCCAGAAGAGAGATACTGAAGTCATGTTAATTTGAACGAATTAAGCATAATTATTGACTATAAGATTACTCACCTGATCCGTTCCTTGTACATAAGGGGAAGAATGAAGAATGATCACGAGCTCTATGCGCAGAGGGCTGGTCCATGAAATCTGAACAGCGAGGCTTGGGCCTTTGTTGGGACTCATAGTAGACCCATAAGATCAGAGCCGGGCTTTTGTGCACCTTTGGGACCTATATTTACCAGGGCCATGGGTTTATACGAGGCTTAGTCGGTCAATGGTTTGGCACTCTGCCAAATATTGTCAATACGCGATACAAATTCATTATGTCTCTAATCTCAACTCAACAATTTTAGTGATCCCATTCATTTCACATACATTAATCCAATTTACTTGGAACTACAATTGGGGTATATCACGTAACTTTTAAATACAATTATAAAAAATGTAAATGTGAAAATAATAAAAAATAAAAAAGCTACGAATTAATATAGCTTTAAAAAATGCAATTGTCGTTTACATCAATTATAATTGCATAATGGATTACATAGATATACCAGACCAAGATGTTTACATCAATTATAATTGCATAATGGATTACATAGATATACCAGACCAAGATGTTGTACTTGAAATCTCCTTAATTGAAATAAATTTGACCAAAATACTACAATTCAGCGCCAATCGATACCGTGTCGGTTGGCAAGGTATCCCAAATAGGGATGACAATGGGTCTGCTTTTGCCAAACCCAAACTCAAACTCAAACCCATGGGTTTATCCGTGAAAAAAATCCGGGGTAAAACACACTGAGTTTGAAAAACTCAAACCCAACCCAGTCCGATGGGTATCCGCGGGTTTTTGTCGTAAAAAATTACAATAACAAGTTCCTATCAAAATCAAATATCAATCTCCCAACACAAATTATCCATATATAAAACACCATTCTAGAAAGTTCAACAAAATCACAAATTAACTATACATTCAACACCAATCTAGAAAACTAAAGAAAATTGAAGCAAATCACAAATTATCCATAAATAACATGATTAATTCAAAGCTTATTCATTTCAATTAAGTTTCTTTACTCTCCACTCGATAACATCAACTTCATTCTACACAATTAGAAAGAAAAAATTACACATGTCTCTACAAACATAAATAAGATTAGTTGTTTAGAATATTAAATATACCGAAAAAATTAATTATGTGAGTGTAGGCGGGTACCCATAGGGCTGGTTTACCTAAACCTAAACCCAACCTAACCCGGTGAATAGTGAACGGGTTGAAACCCAAACCCTGCCCAAAACCCGTCAACACGAATTTTATCTGCGTTGACCGAATTGGGTCGGGTGGGTACCCGTGAGTTCGGGTTTTGTTGCAATCCCTAATCCCAAAGCAGCAACTAGCAACTATAGTATATCCAGAAAGAAGCTTAGCCTAGAAGATACATAGATCTAGATTTCCTAGCACACTATTCTGTGAACAGACCATACTTTTGGGTACGTCATAAATAAAACCAGAGGGAGGGAAATCTCCCTTTTCAAGCCCTTTCCTCGCTTTAGTCGTCACCGGTCTCACCCTACTTTTTGGGCTTTTAGCCTTTAGGGCAATTTGATGATCAGTACTGGAAGAAAGCTTTCGAGGTCCATTTTCCAAGTGGGCCTGCTTGGTTACAAGTCCATTTACATCACATCAGTTCCGACAGTACCTTATCCATGCAAAACCCTAGGGGCAACATGCATGCATGTGCTGATGTGCCGACACGAGGGATTGTTAGTTGTAATTAATTGACTATCGGATTAGATTACAAATGACACATAACG